AAGAAACGAATCCAATTTTATCTTGAATTATAATATGATTCTTCTTATTTGCTAGAATTCACCTATAAAACCAGGTATGCCTACAGATTGGTAGAGTCATTCTTGGACATTCCTTGATTACTCCAGTTTCCATGGGTTACTTGATTTTCATCTCTGAATTCATAGTCTTTAAGTATCTAACATATAGTTTATCTATTTGTTTATTACTCACTGCAAAAGTACACGTGTAACATTACAGAAATACAGGACAGAGTGATCAATCCCCATAATCCTGCCCTCTGGGATCACTACTGTTAATAGCTTTGTCGGTTATACTCCAGACTGCCTGGGTACCATTTCCAGCTTTCCATTTAGCTGGCAGCCTTGAACAAGCTATTTGTCCTCATACTTCCTTGGTTTCCTCATCTTGGTGTTGTGAGGGTTTAATAAGAATATGTAAAGTATTCAGCATGGTTTTTGGGATATAGTAAATGCTTAATAAATGCTAGTTTTGTACATATATGAGGATAGGCTAGATTATGTTGCAGTAACCAACAACAAAATCTCAGTGCTTTAACACAACAATTTCTTTCTTTTTTTAAAAAATATATTTTATTGATTTTTTTACAGAGAGGAAGGGAGAAGGATAGAGAGTTAGAAACATCGATGAGAGAGAACCACCGATCAGCTGCCTCCTGCACATCTCCTACTGGGGATGTGCCCGCAACTAAGGTACATGCCCTTGACCGGAATCGAACCTGGGACCCTCCAGTCCACAGGCCGACGCTCTATCCACTGAGCCAAACCGGTTAGGGCAACAATTTATTTCTTAATAAATTGGCAGAATGGTTTCTCCATGCAGTCACTCAGGGACCCAGGATACTGGAGGTCCACCATGCTGTGGTCATCATCTGCCATACATGGCTCCTCTGCTCATTTTAGGAGCGAAGAGAGACTATAAAATCACACATGGAGTTTTTATTGCTCCAGCCCATAATTGATATATGCCACTTTCAATCACAATTTATTGGCCATAACTAGTAACCAAAGCCCTGCCCAACAGAAAGTGAGCTGGGCAATGTGGAGTGTGGAGTGCAGACTATGTAGTGAGTACTTCTACCTCAATTGCAGTCCGCTTTCTCCCATCCAGCATGTATGATATTATCCAAACAGTGTTGCAGGGTTTTTTGTGTTTTTTTAAAATGTATTATATCATGGATGTCTCCTCATATCAATACATATTTATTTGTTCATTTACTATTTATTAAGCCCTTCTGGGTGTCAGGCATTAGTCTAGATCAGCCTTGGGCAAACTACGGCCCGCGGGCCGGATCCGGCCCATTTGAAATGAATAAAACTAAAAAAAAAAAAAGACCGTACCCTTTTATGTAATGATGTTTACTTTGAATTTATATTAGTTCACACAAACACTCCATCCATGCTTTTGTTCCGGCCCTCTGGTCCAGTTTAAGAACCCATTGTGGCCCTCGAGTCAAAAAGTTTGCCCACCCCTGTCTAGACCCTAACCACCTGCCCCCCATATCTTCACTACCTTATTGTTCATATCCATGGACTATGCCTAGAAGCATATAAGTTCTTTGGTTCATCTCTTCTCATCTCCCCAACCCCGAATCAAGGTATGTTAGCCTGCTCCATGCCTCCATGCTTTAGGTCTTATTTTGTTGGTCAGTTCAGTCAGCTCATTAGATTCTGTAAATAAGGGAGATCATATTATATTTGTCTTTCTCAGATTGGCTTATCTCTCTTAGCATAATATTTTCCAGGTCCATCCATGCTGTCCCAAAGGGTAAGAGATCCCTCTTTTTCACAGCTGCATAGTATCCCATAGTGTAAATGTCCCACAGCTTTTTTATCCATTCATCTACTGATGGGCACTTGGGCTGTTTCCAAATCTTAGCTATTGTAAATAATGCTGCTATGAACATAGGGATGCATATATTCTTTCTGATTGTTTTTTGGGGGTTCTTAGAATACATTCCCAAAAGTGGGATCACTGGGTCAAATGAAAGTTCAATTTTTAATTTTTTGAGAAAACTCCATACTGTTTTCCACAGTGGTTGCAGCAGTCTGCATTCCCACCAGCAGTGTGCTAGGGTTCCCTTTTCTCCACATCCTTGCCAGCATTTGTTGTTTGTTGATTTTTTGATGATAGCCACTCTGACAGGTGTATGGCGATATCTCATTGTGGTTTTAATTTGCATCTCTTTGATGATTAGTGACTTTGAGCTTTTTTTCATATGTTTCTTGGCCATTTGTATGTCCTCTTTGGAGAAATGTCTATTCAGGTCATCTACCCATTTTTTAATTGGATTATTTGTCTTCCTTTTGTTGAGTTGTATGAGGACTTTATATATTGTTTCTGACTTTTTAAAATCCCCCTTTCTATCATTCCCTTTAAAGTGATTAGACATATAATAAATTCCCTATGAAAATTACAGATTGAGAAGTAAAACTTAAATCATTAAGTTTTATTAAATGTAACCTCAGTTATTATAGCATTTTACTTGTTGAGAATGAAAAAAAAAATAAGCTGCACAAAATATTATACCCACCAGCAATTTAAAAGTTTTGAGCATTAGAGAGCTAGTTCAAAAATGTTTTAGGCTCCCCTCTCCCTCCCCCCTCCCCCCGTAATTGGCCAGATGTGAGGTATATTTTGAATGGAGACTCTTCTTAGTCACATACTTATCATGATTCTTCCACTAAAAATTTGTTCTTTCAGTGGTTTACTTTCTGTTGCCATAGAACTAGGCTACATTGCACAAACATTTTGAGTCAGTTCTGTCAGTTTTTCCTTAAGATGACCGAGTCTTAATAATTAGACGATTGTGATTGAATTAAAAAAATGAAATCAGCCTTTTCCAGCCCAAAGAGTTTACTGGACTCTTTAAAAGTTATTTGGCTAGATTGTGAGGTCACACCCAGACACCAAAGAGAAATGTCACTAAAAGATCACTCACTTAGAACCACCCTACATTGAGGGGAAATGACAGGCTGGCCAAGCAGAGGAAGACTCCTGTCACAGACAAATTTGTCAGTGTTAGTCACGCACTAGAACATAATGTTTAAAGGGAAATGCATGACACCGCTGGGAAGCTATGTTGGAAGAGCTGTGGCCAAAGAAAAGAGAATTAGAAATGTAGGGAGAATTGTGCTTCCATGACACAGATAACTTGGAAGTCTGGTGCATAAAAAGTTTTGTTTTTATAATTTAGTTCACCTTAGTTAGGGTCATTTGTATATAAGGCAAAAATCTCTCTTTTGATAACAGTGTCTTTATTTCAGGAAGGAAGGATTACTGCATTATGCTGACATTCAGTTGGAAACATTTTTGGGTGTGGGATGATTCATTATCAGTACCAGACTGTCTAATCATAAGCCTTATCCAATCATAAATATTTTAAGGCCCTGGCCCGTGTTGCTCAGTGGTTAGAGCATCGGCCCACACACTGAAGGGTTGCAGGTTCAATTCCTGGTCAAGGGCATGTATCTGGGTTGCAGGTTCAATCCTTGGCTCTGGTTGGGGTGTATGCGGGAGGCAGCCAATCAATGTGTCTCTCTCACATTGATGTTCCTCTCTCTCTTCCTTTCTCCTTCCCTTCCTCCACTTCTCTCTCTAAAAAAAAAAAATCAATGCAAATAATAAACCAATCCCAAGGATGTTGCCTAGGCAGAATTCTTTGAAAAGACCAATTAGGAGCTAGCAAGACTACCCACCCCCTAAAGTAAAAGGTCCGCACTCCTCTCGCCCTCTCTCTTCTCCCTGGCAGCAGTGGCTTCCTGACATTCCTTCCTGTGGTCGGGGAGCCCACCCTTGCGTCCACGTGGCCTCCACACCTGGACTATTAGACTTTAATTAACTTGGATACTAAACTGCTCCCCACTGTCACATGGAAAGGAGGCTCCAGACACCGGCCTGCACTTGGAACCCCAGCTACACCTTCTCCAGGACTGGTTTCTCCCAGTAAACTTTGGTTCCATTAATTGGGGGGGGGCGGGGGGGAAGGCCCCGGGTGGTTGGCAGAGGGGCCCTGCCTCCTGGTTGAACTCCGGGTCAAGGGGACAATTTGCATATTAGCCTTTTATTACACAGGGACTTGGGGAGGGGAGCTTCAGAGAGCAGGAGAGAAAGCTGTGCTGCTTCAGTTTTAGCTAGGGCTCTTCCATTTCAGCCTCGGGAGCCAGCCGCTTGGAGACATCATTCCGTCCCAAAAATAAAGTCATGAATCCCCCTCAAGTCCCTGAGGAGACAAAAAGACACACACATTAGCAACTAATGAGGACCTTCTGAGAACAAAGAGTTGAGCAGGAAGAGCTTTTACCGTGTGAACAAAGGCTTAATTAAGCATAGCTGCTCAGGCTGACCAGTGTGGCTCAGTGGTTGAGCAGCGGACTCTGAACCAGGAGATCACGGTGGGATTCCCCGACAGGGCACGTACCGGGTTTTCGAGCCCAAGCCCTGGTGTGGGGCGTGCAGGAGGCAGCAGATCAATGATTCTCTCTCATTATTGATGTTTCCATCTCTCCCTCTCCCTCCCTCTCTAAAATCAATAAAGATATATTTTTAAAAAATAGTTGCTCTTAATACTAGGGGCATTCACATCACAGGGGCTGGGCTAGAGTTTGTTACTAAGGAAGCCCTAGCAACCGAATGCAGTCATTCTCTGTCTCCTCAGTCTTCTGATGGCCACACTCATACACATTCATGAACACTTGTGTTCGGTTTAATAACAACATTTGGTTAATGTGGTGAGATGGGAGGACTGAGGAAGGGGGGAGCACCTTTGCTGGGGGACAGGGAGGCGCTGAGGGGTGGAGGGAGGAAGGGTCGGGGTGGGGAGGCACCTGAAGGAGCAGAGAGGCCCAGACTCAGGTGAAGGTTGTGGGAGGTAAGGTGGGGGCGGTGGCGGGGGGTGAGGAAACTCATACCAGAGGATTTCATCAAGCTGCTGCTGCAGACTACGATAATTTCGACGCACATTCTTCCAATACGTGAAGTGTCATCCCCCGTTGTACACAAAATTATCCCAACAGTATTCAAAGTCTGCAGTAAAGAGGGGAGAAAGCAGGCAGGTCTGGCCTAGGAGCCTTTCTCTCCTGAGCCTCCCCTGGGCAACCCCACTCAGGGCCCAGTTTCCTCCTTGCCAGGTGTCTTCACTCTGCCTCAGTTTCCCAAGTTCCCCTGGGTGCCTGTCACTGTCCCTGGGTGCCTCTACCTGCCCCCCCCCACCCCCCCATACACACATTCCTGCCCCAGCTCCCTCTGCTCTCACCCTCTGGAGCCATCATGGCCACCTTGGCCCCTGCAGCAACCAGATCTCGAAGCCCCTGCTCATCTTCGTCCTCATACAAGTAGAGGCGGGCAGCGGAGATGCTCAGGTCCACATTCTCGTTCTCATTCAGGAAGTCAGCCACCTGCTTTGCACACTCAAAGCAGGGGCTCCAGGATACGTACCAGGTGACACGGTATTGCACATCAGGACACCGAATCTCATCAGGAAACAGAACCTTCTCACGGAACCAATCCAGAAAGCAGAGTTCTGCGTGGCCAGGATACAACTGGGAGAGACGGGGGGGCGGGGGGGGGACCCCTCGTAACAAAGCAGGCATGTGACAGAGCAGGCATGTGACAGAGCAGGACTGGGGGATGGGCACCAGGGGACAGGGAGCAGTAGTCTCAAGGTCATGTTGTTGATTGATTTATCCCCTTTTTATTTTTTTAAAAATATGTTTTTATTGATTTTTATTTTTTATTTTATTTATTTTAAAATATATTTTATTGATTTTTTTTTACAGAGAGGAAGAGAGAGGGATAGAGAGCTAGAAACATCGATGAGAGAGAAACATCGATCAGCTGCCTCTTGCACACCTCCTACTGGGGATGTGCCCGCAACCAAGGTACATGCCCTTGGCCGGTATCTAACCTGGGACCTTTCAGCCTGCAGGCTGACCTCTATCCATTGAGCCAAACTGGTTAGGGCTGATTTTTATTTTTAAAAATATATTTTTATTGATTTAAGAAAGGAAGGGTGAGAGAGATAAAATGTCAGTGGTGAGAGAGAATCATTGATCGGCTGTCTCCTGCACAACCCCCACTGGGGATCCAGCCCACAATCTGGGCATGTACCCTTGACCTGAATCAAACCCAGGACCCTGCAGTCTGCAGGCTGATACTCTATCCACTGAGCCAAACCAGCGAGGGCTATTTTTATTGATTTTTAGAGAGAGGAAGGGAAAAGGAGAGATCGAAACATTGATGAGAGAGAAGCATCAGAAAGCTGCCTCCTGCACACCTCCCGCTGGAGATCAAACCTGCAACCTGGGCATGTACACTGAATGGAATCTAACCAGTGACCTCTTGGTACAGGGGTCGATGTTCAACCACCGAGCCTCACCAGTGGAGCGATTCATCCCTTTGTAAACTCCTCCCCTCCCTGATGTTTTATTTGCGCATCCCTTACCACACTCCAACGTCCTGAGGGCCTGCTCCAGGCCAGGCCGCTGGGGTCCAGGCTTGTTTCCTGGGTGCTGTCTGCCGGGGAGGGCCCAGAGCCATGCTGCCCACAGGGAGCCACTAGCACCGGTGTCTGCTGTGCTCTTGAAATGTGGCTCGCCTGCATTGATGTGTGCAACAAATACGGAATATACACCTTATCTCCATGACGTGGTATGAAAGAGGAATGTAAACTATCTCATGAAGAACTTCTATATTAACTACTAGAGGACAGATGCATACAAATTTGTGCAAGAGTAGGCCTTACTTCCCCCGGCTGCCGGCACCGGCTTCCCTCCGGTACCAGCTTCCCTCCGGTACCAGGACCTGGGCTTCCCTCCTCCAGCCGCTGGCAGGCACCCAGGACCCGGGTGGCTTTGCCCAGCCCCGGCTTTCCGGAAGGACATCAGGAATGATGTCCAGAAGGACGTTCAGTCTAATTAACATATTACCCTTTTATTATTACAGATATGGTGAAACAATATCTTAGATATATTACAAAGTACATTATAAACATTAAATTGATCAATTTCTCTGAAAGTTTGAACACTGGGTACTAGAAAAGGTTAAATGACCTAAGTGACCCTGATTACGCTCCCATGGGAAAGTACTGCCACAGTGACACCCATCCATCCCAGAAGGGCTCTGAGTAGCCTGCAGTCTGGGTGGAGAAGGGAGGGCTGGCGTGTGCTGGACACTTCACAGGAGACCTTAGTGCTTGACTCAGAGCGGGCTGGAGGCAGGCAGGATGTGGGTGTGGGTTCTCCCCTGGGGGTAGCTGGGGGAGGACCTAGCCAGCAGAGCACTTCCTAGGGCCCCATAAGGCACTGGTGCACAGCAGCCCCAACTGTCCTAGACCCTCTTTTTTTTCTTTCTTTTTCTTTTTTGCAATCCACATTTTAATAACAAAGATACTATTTTTAACATGGCCAAGTATACTTGGCTAAGTCCAGATTTTAAAAAACATAAGTATCTAGCCTAGCCCAATAGTTCGACCATACAGTTTTGTACACAACATTCTGTAGGTCAACAGAAAATGCATTTCAGCACAAAAATATTTAAAGAGAATCTCTAAGCACCATTTTATTTCTGCAAAACAGACATATATCTTGTACTGATTAAATATCTACAAATGCTGCCCTAGCTGATTTGGCTCAGTGGATAGAGCGTCAGCCTGTGAACTGAAGGATCCCAGGTTAGATTCCCGGCAAGGGCATATGCCCGGGTTGCGGGCTGGATCCCCAGGAGGGGGCGTGCAGGAGGCAGCCGATCAATGATACTCTCTCATCATTGATGTTTCTACCTCTTTCTCCCTCTCCCTTCCTCTCTGAAATCAATAACAATATATTAAATATCAACAAGTCCTTTTCCTTTACAAAAATACATATATTCTTAATAGACTGAGTCATTAACAATGACCTGGTCATCTTTCACTTCGATTTGAATAATTCATAAGCTAAATCTTACAATCACAAAAAGGTTTTTTTTTTAATTAAATCTTTATTGTTCAGATTTTTACATTTGTTCCTCTTTTTTCCCCCCATAACTCCCCTCCTCCCAGTTCCTGCCCCACCCTTCGCCCTCACTCCCCACCCACTGTCCTCATCCATAGGTGCACGATTTTTGTCCATTCTCTTCCCGAATCCCCCACACCCCTTTCCCCCCCAAGAATAGTCTGTTCCCTTTCGATGTCCCTGATTCTATTATAATCACCAGTTCATTCTGTACATCAGATTATTTATTCACTTGATTCTTAGATTCACTTGTTGATAGATGCATGATTTGTTGTTCATAATTTGTATCTTTACCTTTTTCTTCTTCTTCCTCTTCTTAAAGGATACCTTTCAGCATTTCATATAATACTGGTTTGGTGGTGATGAACTCCTTTAGCTTTTCCTTATCTGTGAAGTTCTTTATCTGACCTTCAATTCTGAATGATAGCTTTGCTGGATAAAGTAATCTTGGTTGTAGGTTCTTGGTATTCATCACTTTGAATATTTCTTGCCACTCCCTTCTGGCCTGCAAAGTTTCTGTTGAGAAATCAGCTGACAGTCGTATGGGTATTCCCTTGTAGGTAACTGAGTTTCTTTCTCTTGCTGTTTTTAAGATTCTCTCTTTATCTTTTGCTCTTGGCATTTTAATTATGATGTGTCTTGGTGTGGTCCTCTTTGGATTCCTTTTGTTTGGGGTTCTCTGCGCTTCCTGGAACTGTAAGTCTATTTCTTTCACCAGGTAGGAGAAGTTTTCTGTCATTATTTCTTCAAATAGGTTTTCAATATCTTGCTCTCTCTCTTCTTCTGGCACACCTATAATTCTGATATTGGTACGCTTGAAGCTGTCCCAGAGGCTCCTTATGCTATCTTTGTATTTTTGGATTCTTTTTTCATTTTGCTTTTCCGGTTGGGTGTTTTTTGCTTCTTCACATTTCAAATCTTTGACTTGATTCTTGCGCTCCTCTGGTCTGCTGTTGGATCTCTGTATATTATTCTTTATTTCAGTCAGTGTATGCTTAATTTCTAGTTGGTTCTTTATCACAACATCGAGGGTCTCATTAGATTTCTTGTAGATCTCATTAAGTTTATCGGCAGTTTCTAGAAAATTATTGACCTTAAAAGTGCGGTTTTCAGCTCTGTATCCTCCATTTCTGTCATGTTTCTTTGTCTCCGCATTTTTTATGCTTTCTTGGTGCACCCCCTTGTGGTCTTTGTGCGCAGTCTTGTTGTAGTTAAGCCTTGATTGTTGCTGGCAATACTGGGGGTGATTTGACCTCCAGGCTAACTGGCTATGAGAGTCAGCTGTGTCTGCAGTGGGAGAACTTCTGTGCTGGATCTCTAGGGTGGTGCTAATCTAGCATTTGCCTAAGGCTATCCGGCAAATGGCTCTGTGCAGGGCTTGGGCGGGGCGGGTCCCCGGGGATCTACAGGGTGTGCGGAGCGAGCAGTTATGGCTGCTCTCAGTTCCGTCCCCAGGGGCTCTGCCTCTCAGAGTCCCAGCAACCGCTGCCTTTGAGTTCTGACCGAAGCCAGACAGTCCCACCTCTCCCGTTTGAGTCTGGGTCCCTAGAGACTCGCCCGGATCTGGAGCTCAGAGTCTGAAACTCCCTCCCGATTGAAAACAACAACCGCGCCCTCAGCCGCCAGCCCGCTCCACATGCACTCCGCACTTTAGTATTTCACTTCAGCACTGCGCCTCCTCTGAGTCTTGGTATGCTATTCTCTTTCCTCCTAGTTGTAGAACTGCCACTCAGCCAGCCTTCCTGTGGTTCTGAATGATGTCCGTTCCATATTTTAGTTGTATTTTTGAAGTGGTTGTTCGAGGCAGCAAACTCCGGCGTTAACCTATGCCGCCATCTTCCAGATTCAAAAAGGTTTTTTATGTGCATTAATATGTTACCACTTTTGACCAAAAAAAGCTTAAAATCTTTTATATTTCAAAGGAAAATCAGCAACACAACAGTACACTGTACTCTACAGTGATTCTGTTTAACATGAGGGCTCCTCTACCAAACACTGATGCTCACCGGTGCTGCCCCACGGCAGGGCGCAGCAGGGCCCGGGCTCCCTCACGGGCATGTGTCATGGACCACAGCTTGATAAGGACACTTAGGCCCCCACCCTCGTTCTAAAAAACACAGCAAAAGAAAACTGACCCCAAACACAGGAGGCTGATCCCTTTACATTTCCAATGTGCCGAGCCCCTGCTCCAGTGGACTGACGTGTGTCTGTGGATAAATAATCTGTTTGCTAACTCTACTGTTGCCCAGAAACATTTAATCTTCATTTGTACTAGATTCGTTTCTTATTCCACGAAGCCCTGGAAGATGGAAGAAAACTAGACCCAGCGTGCAACAGACGTCAGTTGCACTTGGTTCTAGGTTTAAAGGTAATGAACATTGAAAAGCTGCTGAACAATGTTTTAGAGCTGGCTCCTAGGGAAAGGGGCATAACAGATACAGGGACACCTTTAAATGAGCATTTAAAATTAAATTATTTTTAAGTGTAATTTCATAACTTTCTGAAAAGGAAGTGCTCAAGCATTTTAAGTGTTTGAAAGCACAGAAAAAGATGAAGAAGAAAACACATAAGTGACAACTGCATTACTGGGAAGATAATCACTTTTCAATTATTGAGAAAATGCCATTGCTGTAGGGAAAAAATGGTGAAAACCTTGTAATGCATATTTAAGTACATTTTAATGAGATTACAATCTCGTGTTTTTCTATGAAAACTCAGCTGAACTAGGTCCGTCAAGTCAATCCAGCATTAGTTGGTTATTTTGTGCTTTCAAAGGGTTCAGAGTCTCCAGTATATTTAATATTTTCCAACCGTTCATATGCCAGATCTGGCAGACATGCTGTGTTCCTTATTGTGTGTGTGTGTGTGTGTGTGTGTGTGTGTGTGTGTATCTCATTTATAACTAGAGCAGTGGTTCTCAGCCTTCCTAATGCCGCAGCCCTTTAATACAGTTCCTCATGTTGTGGTGACCCCCAATTTCATTGTTACAAATTGAACATAATTAAAGCATAGTGATTAATCACAAAAACAATATGTAATTATATATGTGTTTTCCGATGGTCTTAGGTGACCCCTGTGAAAGGGTCGTTCGATCCCCAAAGGGGTCGCAACCCACAGGTTGAGAACTGCTGAACTAGAGGCCTGGTGCATGAATTCATGCACAGGTGGGGTCCGGCCAGACCGCCACCAATCGGAGTGGGGGTGCTAATCAGAGCGGGGCCTGCCAAGGGGAGGGGCTGCGGGCGGTTGGCCGGTCACACCCCCAATTAGGGTGGGGGGGGATGATCAAAGCTACTGGTTCTGTCGTTCAGGTCACTTGGCTTTTATATATATATATAGACTAGAGGCCTGGTACACGTATTTGTGCACTGGTGCGGGGGCATGACCTGCGAGGATTGGCCTATTGTGGGGGCGCTGCTCATCCCAGTTAGCCAAGCTCCACTCCCACTGTGGAAGCGCACTGACCACCAGGGAGCAGTTCATGTATTAAGCGTTTGCCCCCTGGTGGTGATTGTGCATCATAGTGACTGGTTGACTGGTCGTTCTAGTCATTCCGCCATTCAGTCAGTGGGCTTTTATATATATAGATAGCATTTCACATTTTTGTGGTTCTAATCCAGGTATTTAAAGTATGGTCAACACATTCATTTTTGCAATTCTCCTACAACCAACATCTTGAGTATCAAGCTTAGCCTGTGGGAAATTCCTTATGATAAACCACAGTACGTAACAGAGGCTTACGTACAGCCTATCAAAGAGACTTCAGGATGTGAGCATTAACTCTGAGGTGGCCCACAGCCTGAGCTCCCAAGGAGAATGGTGTAAGAAGAGTGCTTACTTTGATATATGTATGATCTAGATCTGAGACCCATTTTGCTAATTTGGCTGAGTGGCTGAATTCTAATAACAGTAGAGCAATCACTGAGAAACAGGACAGGGAGGTGAAACAGGCCTTTATGAAAATTTTGCTTTTGAAATGGAAAAAGCATTTATGTAAGGGAGTCCAATTGAATGTACTCTTTTCTATACATGTAAGCCTATCAGCACTTTTACCCAAGCCTAAATGCTCTTTCCTCCAAGACGGTTCAAGGTCCCTGGAAGAGGTGGAGACTGAGGGCCAGCAGGTTCAATAGACTCTAGTGCAGGGGTGGGCAAACTTTTTGACTCGAGGGCCACAATGGGTTCTTAAACTGGACTCAGAAGAAGGAGCTGCGGCCGTGTTTCCCGACGTTACCATGTTAACACTGCTGCTGGTGAAGGAGCGGAGGGGAGAGCAAGAGAACCCTCCGCTCTTTTGGCTCGGCGGGCCAGATAGAACAGCCGAAAGGGCCGGATCCAGCCCGAGGGCCGTAGTTTGCCCACGGCTGCTCTAGTGACTAGAGGAGGCCTTGTGGATAAGTCAAATGCCATTGTCTATGGCAGTGGTCGCCAACCTTTCAGACCTCACGGGACATCAGTGGTCCACAGACCACCCGTTGGCGACTGCTGGTCTATGGTGATTTGGGAGGGTCAGGCAGGGGCATCCAGGGCTAAAACACAGGGCAGTGTTGTGGGAAGAAGCCTCTGACATTTTCCATATTATCATCTCCCCACATCCTTCCCTGGCTTAGTTCCTGCCTCTGATGACAGCATCGTGAGGCACATACCTGGTTTCGAAAGACACCATTTTGATAGTCAAGAAATGAACCATCCTCCCATTTTTCCACTTCAAAGCAGAGGAAGGTAGACTTCCGCCCATAGCCATTTAGATTTTGGAAGTTGAAGTTGAAGGTCTTGGGATACATGCTTCTCATTGGGTTGCAGTGGGCAAGAGAGATAACAGACAATTCAGTATTCCTACGAGTTTCACCCATCCAGTGACTCCTGAACACATTTCATGGACACTCTGGGAACCCTGCCTCCCAGAAACCCCTTCCCTTGGGTTGGGGGAGAGCAGGAGGGCAGGAGCTACTGAGACAGCGAGGTGGGGGGTAAGGGGGATCCTGTCCTCTGCCTTAGGGCCCAGCTCTGCTGCTTCCAACAACACACGCCCAAACACATACCCCCAGTCATTTGAATACAGAAATAAGTAATAAAACTGCCTCCACCCCCAAACATTAGATTTTCATATTAAGGTGCAATTTATGATTGACCTTTCAATAATAATGTTTATTATTATTATTTAATGTCAGGCGAACACCTAAATTCACAGGCTCTGGCTACTGTTCTAAGAGCTCCTTGTATCTGAACTCCTCTATTCCTCCCCAGATCCAGGGGCCTCACCCCATTTTACATGGAAGGAGACAGGGCACAGGGAGGGAAGTAGCCTGCCCAAGTCACAGGGCTGCTAACTGACAGGTTCCTTGCCCAGGCAAAGCCATGTCCAGCCCTTGCATGACGTCAACTGGCAGCGGTGGCCCTATTGGCTGAGAGGCTCTTTTCGCCCTCATTGTAAACACCATTTCCCTCACCGGTCCGTACACTATAAACGCGAGGGCAGGGATGCCTCTAGGGACAGTTGGACTTTGCTCTTCTGCTCATAGTGCCGGCACCTTGGTAGAGAGGATTTCCCTTCCTGCTTAGCGAACTCCTCTCACTCTGAGTGGATAACGGGGTCAGTAGCACAGAAAGTGGATCCAAGTACTTCAAACCAAATGCCCCGAGTGCTCCACTCATCCTTTAGTGCAATTCTAATGGCCAAGAGGGCACAGGAAAGGCCACAGAGCAGCAGCTCCACGGGCAGGCAGGGGACAGCCAGCCCCACAACTGGCAGACTGTGAGGAGGACCAAGTGGACAACAGGCCTGGACAAGGGGCAGGAGGGGCCATTCAGAAGCAATTGTGGAGACATCCCCAGAAGAAGGCAAAGCCCCTGCTGGAGTGGGACCTGCAGAGAAGGTGCCCAGAGCGGGAGCGAAGCCAGGCTAGACCAGGGGGAGGACAAAGCTGAGGAAAGAGACACCTCAGGGCCCCCAAGTAGAAAGGGCTACAGAGAAGGACAGAGTGGGGGCAGTACCTGGCCAGGGCACCGGAGTGAAGTGTTGGTTCCCTTGTTGCTGCTGCATTGCCCTTGGTCCCCAGCGCTTGTGCTGCATTTCTGCTCACAGGCCCAGGTTTTAGGAAAGTCCCTGTATAAAAAACCTTCCTACCTTCTTAGCTGGACCCCACCTCCTTCCTGCTTTGGCTGGGAGGGTGGGCTGGCCCTAGGGTGTGATCTTCCTTAACCTCAGGCCCACCTTCCCTCCTCCTCTGGGGCCCTCCCTCTGGACAGAGCTGACTTCTGCTTGAGACAGGCTCCTCTGTGCAGCAGGACCCAGGCTTCTTGTAAAGGGAGACTGAAAGTGATGATGGCAGAGAGAGGGGATGGGACAGGCCCTGCTCCCCTGAGAGGGCCAGGATGGAGCCCTCCGCACACCACCCTGCACCCAGCCCAAGCCTGAGCCCAGTGCATGCTCTCCACCTGCCTCCTGTTGAATGATGGGAAAGTGTGGACCTTGAATCAGGGACAGATGTGCGTTGAGTTCCTCGTTCTGAGCTTGGTCCTCTGCTTAGGTCCCTCTGCCTTCACAGGGTGGGGAGGACACAGCTGGTAGGCTCCTGTCCCACTTGCTTTGGGAAAGCTAGTAGACAGTGACCCTTGTCACTTCCATTGCAAATGCTTTCTTTCAATGTGTGGCTAGGCTCTCGCTTCATGAAGTCTTTCCATGTATAGATGTCTTAATTTTCAATGTTCTCAAATGTATTCATTTTGTCATGTATGTATATGACTTGACATAGGCATGTCGTTTTTTATTTTGTATTAGATAGCCAATGCAAGGACATTTAATGACTTTCCTTCCACGTCATTTTGTCCTACTGATGTGCAAGGCCACCACCTGTGTGTGTGTGTGTGTGTGTGTGTGTGTGTGTGTGTGTGTCATATGCTCCTTTGCTTCACCTGTCCATGCCTGAGTGACTACCACACTGCTCTGCCAGGGCTTCAAAGTAGGTCCAATATCTGGTATGTCGATCCACCTTAGCTTCACCTTTGAAGTTGTATTGGCCGTGTACACATTTACATGAAGTTATGGGCAAAATTTCCTTAAAATATGTTTTTTAAATTAATTTCACAGAGAGGAAGGAAGGGGGAGAGAGAGAAAAAAACATCAGTGATGAGAGAATCATTCATTGGCTGTATACCCCCTACTGGGAAAAGATCCCAGAACCTGGGCAAGTGCCCATGCATGAACCTCCTGGTTCATGGGTCCATGGTCAACCACTGAGCCAAAACAGCTGAGTGATGGACATACTTTTCGTGTTTCCTGTGATACCCTATTATCAATGTGTAGGGCAATCCTGGCAGGCATAGACGTCTCTGAGGCACTGAGACTCTCCATCCATGAACATGGTATATATCTCCATTTCTCTGGGCCTTGTATGTTCTCAGTGAGTTGTAATCAAGTTAAAGGGGAAGCTGGAAGGGAAGGAAAGAGGCAGCCATGAGGGCAAAGAAGAGGAAGGGGAGCACAAAGAGGAAGAAACAGGATCAAAAAGAAAGATATATCACTCTGAGCAGATGGAGGGAAGTAACGCAGCCTGGAGAGAGGAAAGAATGGAGGGAGAAAAGGGGCAGAAAGGGAGAATATGAATCCGGGCTCAACCTTGTCTACCTGCAACCTTGGGAAAAGGGAAAAAGAACTTTGCCTCAGAGCAATATGGTGCTCAGTAGTCATTCCCTGCTGTGAGAATTGGTGCAGTCTGGACAAGCTTGGGGATGAAAGGGGCTTCGCCCAGGTCCTGAGACATGGTGAGTCTGCACCAAAAGGCAGAGGTTAATTTAGAGAAAAGGGAATGGAGGCCCCTCTCAATACTTCCTGCTCACTTGGGCATGGTGGCGTCACTTCTGGGACTGGCATTCTCCATGGTACACCTGCAGCAGGGGCGGGAGGAGACACAGAAATGAGGGCAGCAGACCACAGGACATGCTGGGAGTCCTGGGGACAGACCAGGCAAGGCACAGGGTCAGGAGACAGGAGGAACACCCAGGGTCAGAGGAGGAGCTGGCAGAGGATAGGGAGGGAGTCCCCATCAGGGAAGGCAGAAGGAGGGGGTCAGGAGCAGGGGCCAACCCTGTCCAGGGTCTCAGCCTCGACCACCTGCTGAGACCCCTAATGGTTCTTGTCACCACTTCTTCCCAACACCAGGCTGCACATGGTATGAGCAGAATCTGCTGGAGGACTGAAGGATTATTTGAAAAATAGATTGATTCATTGAACCAGAGACTTCCCCTCTTCTTTATAATCACCTCATCTTTTGTTGAAGACTAACTATCTCCTTTGTTAGACATTGTCCAAAATGCCTGACATTTACCTGTCACCACAGCCCCGAGGTCAGTCACTGTTACTCTCTATGTGTTACAGTGAGGAATCCCAGAGGCAGCCCTGTTCCCTCTGCCACACAAACAGGGTCTGCGCAGGAAGGAAACACTCCTGGACACAGATTTATGGGCTGCCCATCAGCTGCCCTTCATGGTCGGTCCCTGCCATTGTCCACAGAGAGGACGTACAGGCTTGAAAGTCTTGTGGTTGGTCCAGTCCTCTCTCGCCCCCTGGGAATGAGGCATGATGTGTGGAGGTGGGCTATCATCTGAGGCTTGGAGGAGACCAGCAGGAGAAGACAACCCCCCAGAGCTGAGTTGGGGGTGTGTGTGAGAGTTGGGGCCTGATTCCAGTAGCATCACTGAGCAGCTGAGCCAGGCCCACACTGTCCTACTCCTCCCACAGGTCTTGTCCTGGGAAACAAGCTGACTTTCAGCTCCTCCATGGCGACCACAGTCCCCTGACAACCCAGCCTTCTGTCCTTGATCTCATTTCTGCCCCTTGTCTTCCACCATTGGCCCCCAGCCCTGCTTTGCCCAACCCCACCCTCCTACCCCACCACCCCTCTCCTGTCCTTTTCTTCTCTTTATTCTCCTGTTACATCTTTATTTATATCATTTGATTTTAATCCTATCCATTCTATTCCAAAGGTTAGGGCGTTTGTTATCTCCATTCAAAGGTCAATACTCTACTGTTCTGTTAAGCTACAAGGAAGTAACTGAAGGAGATTATCCTAAGTAAAGATTATGTAGCTTAAGCGTGATTGTTCATAGTTAAGGTGATTAACTACCCGCAAGGCACTTAGTTAAGGGGTTTTACTGATTTATTCCCTTCCTTAGTCCTGTTAATCCCTAACTCCAGGGAAAAATCCCCACTTGGGGAAACAATCTTTCTCAGAGAGGTGACCTTAGCTAAAACACATAGTGCTAAGAAGGGGAGCAAACATATTAAGAACAGTATGCCATATACGCCAGGTACCTTGAAACATATGCTGTTCAGATGTTTCTTCCCTGCAGCGACTGTGTCAAACAGCTATGATGGACCTGCTTCTGGCACAGCACTACTCTCAGCATATCTTTGGTCGATGCTTTTGACTTTGAGATTCTGCTGCTATAAATATTGCTAACTTTTCCTAACCAGTTGCAATTAGTGTGACCACTGCCCTCCCCTAAGGTACATACAGAAGAGAAAGGCATTTTCACTTTTGCAAGTGCTTATTGAACTATTTGAACTTCATGAAGTACTTACAGAGAAAAAACCATTTTGTGGAAGATTCTTAATCTTTCATGTTATTTCTTTGGACTTAAAAATCAATGTAAATAAATAATCTCCTATTTGTGACTCTGATAGTAATGAGTACAATATTACTGGTGTGGATTTAGAACATATCACTGATTTTTAATGAAAAGTAACTCAATCAGATTTTTAAAAAATTCCTTACGAGCTCATTCATTGCCTTTTAATTGTTTCTTTCAATCAACTTGGAGATGGTGGCAAATGAGTTTTTATTACTTGTTTTTATTTTATTTTATTTTTTAATGATTTCAGAGAGGAAGGGAGAGGGAGAGAGAGACAGAAACATCAATGATGAGAGAGAATCATTGACCGGCTGCCTCCTGCTCAGGGATGGAGCCTGCAACCCCAGCATATGTCCTTGAATGGAATCGAATCCGAGACCCTTCAGTCCACAGGCCAAAGGTCTATCCACTAAGCCAAGCCAGCTAGGGCCGTTTTCACTTCTTAAAGAAAGTGTTTTATTCCTCGTTCACCAGAAGTCTCCTCACTTGTTTAGAGAGATGGAAGTCCTCCTTCAGTTTCCCTCATTCTGGATCGAGAAGGAGGAGGTGGAGGAAGCAGGGAGTGAGGCAGGTGGGAAGGTGAACAGAGCAGAGTCTGGGGCAGTCACAAAGCGGGGGAAGGAAAAGGGGCGCAGGGGGGAGAAAGCAAAGGGACTTGTGAGACCTGAGGGGAGGGATGGACCAGGGGCCCAGGGGGGAACAGGTGACCCAGAGGGAGAGAAAGGCCCAAGGGGAGAAGACGAGGGGATGGGGGTGGTGGGATAGGGGGAGATTCAGAGGGAGGAACCTCACCCTGAGAATGTCCTCCAAAGTCTTAGATAGGCTGCAACTGTTTTCATCTATTCCTTCCCAGTACCAGAATCGTTTATGGGGGCGATGCACAAAGATCTTCCTGCAGTAGGCAAAGTCTGAAAGGAACAGGGGAGACCATGGTGCGCTTCAGCTCCGAGAACCTTGAGGGGACACACAGTGTGTCTCTTAGGGACCGCTCTTCCCATCATGATTTCAGACCCTCTTCTCTTTCCTTCCCGGGACTTCATTGTCACTTCAGTACCTTTCTTCCTGTGAATCTGAGCCCCTCCTCCACGCCCCCTTTTGGAAGCCTTCTTGCAGGTGTCCTTCACCTCCCTCCCCAGCCTGGACCACCTTTCTCCCCTGAACTTCTCCTCCAGGAGACTCCCCGACCCCAGCACCACCTCCACAGGCAGCTAAGGGGGCTTCTCCTTCCTTTCTGGGGATTCTTGCTCCTTCCTGCCTAGTCCTAGTCCTCCCAAACCCCTCCCATCCCTGCCCGGGCACCCTCTGCTCTCACCATCTGGAGTCATTATTGCCACCTGGGCCCCTGCACCTTGCAGGCTGCGCAGCCCCTGCTGGTACTGGGGCCTCCTGGGGTAGTAGAGGCGGGCAACGAAGATGCTCAGCTGCACATACTTGTGGTCCTTGAGGAACTCGACCACATGCCTCGCACATTGGAAGCAGGGGCTCCAGGACATGTACCATGTGACATGGTATTTCTCCTCGTGGGACAGGTTCTGAGCCAAGAATGCTTGCTGGGTCTTGAACCAGTTCAAGAAGCAGATTTCTGTGTGCCTGGGCTTCTTGGGATAGAACTGGGAGAGACGGAGAGGGAAAGAGAACCTCTAGGCTGGAAGAGAAGGCATGTTGCAGGGCTGGAGGAGTCGGGACCAGGGGACAGGGAGCCAGAGTCTCAGAAGCATGTTATTGACTGATTCCTTTTTAAACGTCTCCCACCCAGGCTGTTTTAGCTTAGTCATCCCTTCCCACCCTCATCCATGAACTCCAACATCCACCCTCCCATTCTTTCATTCTATGAGCATTCCGGGTGCCTGCTCCAGGCCCGGCTGCTGGGTCCAGGCTTGTTTCTGGGTGCTGTCTGCCGGGGAGGGCCCAGAGCAGTGCTGCCCACAGAGAGCCACTAGCACAGGTGTCTACTGTGCACTTGAAATGTGGCTCGCCTGCACTGATGTTTGTGACAATTACTGAATACACTCCTTATCTCCATGATGTGGTATGGAAGAAGAATGTAAACTATCTCATGAAGAACTTTTATATTAACGATATGTTGAAACAATATCTTCGACATATTCCAAAGTACATTATCAAAATTAAATTAATTGATTTCTCTGAAAGTTTGACCACTGGGTACTAGAAAAGATTAAATGACACAAGTGACCCCAATCGTGCTCCCACGGGTAGGACTGCCATGGTGACACCCCATCCACCCCATAAGGGCTCTGAGTAGTCTGCAGTCCAGGTGGGGAAGAGAGGGCTGGTGTGTGGTGGACACTTCACAGGAGACCTTAGTGTTTGGCTGCAGGGCGGGGGCTTGCTCTGTGTATGCTGAGGCTGCCATCCTCGCCCAGGTGTACCTGGCATTTCAGGATGGTCAGGCAGTGACATCCAGGGCTAAACCTTAGGACAATGTTGTGGTAAGAAGCCTCTGGCATTTTACATATTATTATTTCCCCGCATCCTTCCCTGGCTTAGCTCCTGCCTCTGATGACAGCATCATGGGGCACATACCTCATTTTCAAAAACCCCGGTGCTCATGTCCAATGGCAATCGCCTCTGTGTTCTTTTCACTTGGTAGCAGAGATAGCAGCCATTGCGACCTCCATGGTCAGGGCAGTTTGTAAAGTGAAAGTAGAAATACCCAGGACTAAACCTTCTCACTGGGTTCCTGGGGGCAGGAGAGAAAAGAGAAAATGTAGAGTTCCCTTGAGTTTCTCCCATCTGGTGGCCTGGGCGCCCTGCCTCCCAGCAACCCCTTCCCTTCAGCATTTCCTGCCGCCTCCAGGCAGGAAACTGGGGGAGAGCAGGAGGGCAGGGGCTGCAGGAACAGCAGGGGCTCCTGTCCTCTCCCTTAAGGACTGGCTCTGCTGCTTCCAACAACACATGCCCAACCCCCCAACCCCAATCATTTGAATACAGAAATGAGTAATAAAACTGCCTCCACCCCCAAACATTACATTTTCATATTAAGGTACAATTCATGGTTGACCTTTCACCTATGCATGTTTATTATTATTATTTAATGTCAGGCTAACACCTAAATTCACAGGCTCTGACTACTGTTCTAAGAGCTCCTTGTATCTGAACTCCTCTATTCCTCCCCAAATCTAGGGGCCTCACCCTATTTTACAGAGGAGGAAATGAGGCACAGAGAGGTGAGTAGCCCCCCCAAGTCACAGGGCTGCTAAGTGACAGAACCGGTCCCTTGCCCAGGCAAAGCCATGTCCACCCCTTGGATGACGTCAGCTGGCAGCGGTGGCCCTATTGGCTGAGAGGCTCTTTTCTCCCTCATTGTAAACAGCATTTCCCCCACCGGTGGGTGCACTATAAACGCAAGGGCAGGGATGCCTCTGGGGACAGTCTGACTTTGCTCTTCAGCTCACAGTGCTGGCACCTTGGGAGAGAGGATTTCCTTTCCTGCTCAGCGAACTCCTCTCACTCTGAGTGGATAACGGGGTCAGTAGCACAGAAATTGAATCCAAGTGCTTCAAACCAAATGCCCCGAGTGCTCCACTCATCCTTTAGTGCAGTGATGGTGAACCTATGACACCCGTGTCAGAAGTGACACGCAAACACCTTTTTTGGTTGATTTTTCTTTGTTAAATGGCATTTAAATACATAAAATAAATATCAAAAATATACATCTTTGTTTTACTATGGTTGCAAATATCAAAAAATATCTATATGTGACACGGCACCAGAGTTAATTTAGGGTTTTTCAAAATGCTGACATGCCGAGCTCAAAGGTTCGCCATCACTACTTTAGTGCAATTCTAATGGGCAAGAGGGCGCAGGAAAGGCCACAGAGCAGCAGCCCCACGGGCAGAGAGGGGACAGCCAGCCCCATAACTGGCAGACTGTGAGGAGGACCAAGTGGACAACAGGCCTGTACAAGGGGCAAAGGGGCCATTCAGAAGCAATTGTGGAGACATCCCCAGAAGAAGGGAAAGCTCCCGCTGGAGTGGAACCTGCAGAGATGGCGCCCAGATCGGGAGAGAAGCCAGGCTAGACCAAGGGGAAGACAAGGCTGAGGACAGAGACACCTCAGGGCCCCCAAGTAGAAAGGGCTACAGAGAAGGACAGAGTGGGGGCAGTACCTGGGCCAGGGCACCGCAGTGAAGTGTTGCCTGGGCCTTGCCCTTGGTCCCCGTCGCTGGCGCTTCATTTCTGCTCACAGGCCCAGGTTTAGGAAAGTCCCTTGATGGAGGATTTCCCACCTTCTCAGCTGAGGCCCCACCTTCTTCCTGCTTTGGCAGCGGTGGGGAGTGGGGGTCGGGGGGAGTGGGGGTGCAGGTGGGCAGGCCCTGGGCTGTGATCTTCCTCAACCTCAGACCCACCTTCCCTCCTCCTCTGGGGCCCTCCCTCTGGACAGAGCTGACTTCTGCTGGAGACAGGCTCCTCTGTGCAGCAGGACCCAGGCCTCTTGTAAAGGGAAAGTGAAAGTGATGATGGCAGAGAGAGGAGATGGGACAGGCCCTGCTCCCCTGGGAGGGCCAGGCTGGAGC